ATCAGCCAAACACCACCCCATGTAAGGAAGGCGAGAGCTCCGAGGTCAAGAGTGCAGTCCCGAGGAAGACTTTGAGCCTTCATCCAGCGACCACCAGAGGGTAGAAGAAGACCCTCCTAGCAACAATTGGAGCATGCGCCAAGGGAGGAACACGTCTACGGAAATGGACCTGGATAAAAGGGAGACTTGTGAGATACTGAGCGCGGCAGTTGGTGGAGTTGGACTCCCCTGTCGCCCAGCGCTGCTTTGCTTATTACCTTTGCTTGCTGTAATTAATAAATTTCAGTTAGGCAACTTAATTCGTTGTGGAGTTAAATCCATAACAATCAGGGTGCGGGATTGGGATCCAAAGCCAGGATCAGGAGCTGGGATCAGGATCTGAGATCCAGGATGAGGATCTGTGAGCTGGGATTGGGATTGAGATCCTGGATTCTGCATTGGGAGCTGGGATTGGGATTTGGGATGTGGGACGCAGGATTGGGAGCCAGGTTTGGGATCAGGAACCAAGATCCAGGAGCTGGGATCAGGGGTGGGAGCTGGGATCTGGGATTGAGATTGGGATTTGGGATCCAGGGGCCAGGATTGGGATCTGGGATTGGGATCCGGGATTGGGATCTGGGATCCAGGAGGCAGGATTGGGATCTGGGATCTAGGATTGAGACCCAGGATTGGGATCTGGGATCCAGGATTGGGATTGGGACCCAGGATTGGGATCTGGGATGCAGGATTGGAATCTGGGATCCAGGATTGGGATCGGATCCAGGATTGGGATCTGGGATCCAGGATTGGGATCTGGGATCCAGGTTTGGAATCTGGGATCCAGGATTGGGATTGGATCCAGGATTGGGATCTGGGATCCAGGATTGGGATCTGGGATGCAGGATTGGAATCTGGGATCCAGGATTGGGATTGGATCCAGGATTGGAATCTGGGATCCAGGATTGGGATTGGGACCCAGTATTGGGATCTGGGATCCAGGTTTGGAATCTGGGATCCAGGATTGGGATTGGGTCCAGGATTGGGATCTGGGATCCAGGATTGGAATCTGGGATCCAGGATTGGGATTGGGACCCAGGATTGGAATCTGGGATCCAGGACAGGGATGCGCCAGATCCGGGCCCCACTGTGAGGCGCTGGGGGAGGTTGGGCTGTGCTGGGGGATTTAGGCGGGACATGGGCTGGGTTTAGGGCTGGGAGCGGTTTAAGCAGGGCTGGGAGAGCTTTTAGGCTCAACTGGGAGAGGTTTTAAGCTGGACTTTGAGATATTTTAGGCTCGACAGGGAGAGCTTTTAGGCCTGGTGAAGGTTTTAGGCGGGACTGAGAGGCTTTAAGGTGGGACTGGGCTGTTGGGCAGGGCTGAGCAGAGCTTTAGGCCTGGGAGAGGTTTTAGACAGGACTGGGGCTCTTTTAAGCCGGACTGGGTTGGATTTTAGGTGAGAATTGGGACCTTTTACAACTGGTGAGGATTTAAGTCGGGACTGGAGGACTTTTAGGCCAGGGAGAGATTTTAGGTGGGACTGAGCGAGGTTTTAGGCCTGGGAGAGGTTTTAGGCCGAACTGAGGAGTTTTTAGAGCTGGTGAAGCTTTTAGGCTGGACTGAGGAGCTTTTAGGCCAGGCTGGGAGGTTTTAGGCTGGATTGAGGAGGTTTTGGGCAGGACTGGGACAGGTTTTAGGCTGGATTCGGGACCTTTTAGGACTGGTGAAGCTTTAAGCCAGGACTGGGGCACGTTTAGGCCCGGGAGAGATTTCAGGCCGGACTCAGCCTGGCTCAACCTCCTGCTCTGCTGGCAGGGAAATGTCTTCCCTGGAATGTTTTCTTATGGAATGTTTTCACTGGAGTTTTTCCCATGGAATGTTTTCTTATGGAATATTTTCACTGGAGTTTTTTTTCCCTGGAATGTTTTCCCTGGGATGTTTCCCCTGGGATGTTTTTCCCCTGGAATGTTTATTATGGAATGTTCTTCCCCCCAGAATGTTTTCCCCCGGAATGTTTTTTATGGAATGTTTTCACTGGAGTTTTTCCCCTGAAATGTTTCCCCTGGGATATTTTTCCCCTGGGATGTTTTTCCCCCGGAATGTTTTCACTCCGTTTCTACCTCTCGTTGCTTTCATTAAAACCGAGTTTAAACTCCAGCCTTGACTTTTCCTCCTTCTCCTGTTCCCGTTCCCGCCGGCTCCGGGCAGGATGGGGTTAAATCCTTGGAGGAGATAAGCGGGAATTCTTCGGGAATTCTCTGGGCAATCTCCACAGCCCCAAGGCCATTCCTCCTCCTCACATTCCAGGGGGAGTTTCTATGGAATCCACCCCCAGATCCAGGGAATTTTGGGGGCTGAATCTTGATTTGAATTCCAATTAAAATCCCAATTTTAATTCCAATTAAAATCCCAGTTAAAGTCCCAATCTGAATTCCAATTGAAATCACAATTTGAATTCCAATTAAAATCCCAATTTTAATTCCAACTAAAATCCCAATATGAATTCCAATTAAAATACCAGTTAAAGTCCCAATCTGAATTCCAATTAAAATCACAATTTAAATTCCAATTAAAATCCCAATCTGTATCCCAGTTAAAATCCCAAATTGAATCCCAATTTTATTTCCAATTCAAATCCCAATTTGAATTTTTCCAGGGGCTTTTCCCGAGGCTCCTTCCAAAGGTTCTGGACCCTCCTTTCCCTCTTTTCCCATTTCAGGCTCCCTGAGCCCCTCTGGCCCCTAAAACCCCGGAATTCTGGAAAAACTGGGATGGGAAAAGAGCCCTGAGGGGTTGAAATCCCAGGAATCCCAAACTGGGATCCACCAGCCGGGAAATCCCGGAGCAGGATTTGGGATCAGCTCCAGGGGCTGGGAATTCCCAGGGATGGGGATGATGAGGAGGAGGAGGAAGATCCCGGGATCCCCAAAATCCGGGAATGAGCTGAGGACACAGCCCGAGGGGGGCTCTGCTCCCTCAGATTCCTGGGAATTTTTAAATTCCCTGGGAATGGGATGGGGGGGCTGAGGAACCTCGGGATGTTCCTGATCCTGTGGGAATCCCATCCCTGCCCTGGGATCACCGGGACCACCCCGGGATCCAGGTGGGACCCGGCCCCAGATCCAGGGAATGTTCCCAGGATCCCTGATCCAGGCCCAGATCCAGGAATCCCATCCCAGCTCAGAGATCCTGCCCCAAGCCCAGGAATCCCATCCCGGTTCCAGGAATCTGATCCCTGATCCCTGTTCCAGATCAGGAATCCCATCCCAAACCCATGAATCCCATGCCAGACCCAGGAATCGCACCCCAAACCCAGGAATCCCATCCCAGCTCAGGAATCCCATCCATAATCAGGAAATCAGGAATCCCTTCCCAAACCCAGGAATTCCATCCCAGATCCCCGTCCCAGGTCCAAGAATCCCATCCCGGACTCAGGAATCCCATCCCAGGTCCAGGAATCCCATCCCAAACCCAGGAATCCCATCCCTGATCCAGGATTCTCATCCCTGATCCCTGTCCCAAACCCAGGAATCCCATCCTGGATCCCTGATCCAGATGAGGAATCCCATCCCAAACCCAGGAATCCCATCCTAGATCCCTGTCTCAGGTCCAGGAATCTCATCCCAGATCCCTGAATCCCATCCCAGACCCAGGAATCCCATCCCAGATCCCTGTCTCAGGTCCAGGAATCTCATCCCAGATCCCTGAATCCCATCCCAGACCCAGGAATGCCACCTGAGATCCAGGAATCCCATCCCAGATCCCTGAATCCCATCCCAAACCCGGGAATCCCATCGCAGATCCCTGTCTCAAACCCAGGAATCCCATCCCAGATCCCTGAATCCCATCCCAGATCAGGAATCCCATCCCAGGTCTGTTTCCCACATGAGATCCCCAAATCCAGGGGCCATTCCCAGCATCCCCATTTTCCAATGTCTGCCCCAAACCCATCCCCTATTCCCGCTCCAAATCCAGGGATCAGATCCCAAACCCATGCCCTAGTCCTGCCCCAAATCCAGGGATCAGATCCCAAACCCTATTCCCACTCCAAATCCAGGGATCAGGTCCCTGCCCCAAATCCAGTGATCAAACCCGAAATCCATCCTCCATCCCTGCCCCAAATGCAGGGATCAGATCCCAAACCCATCCCCTATTCCTGCCCCAAATGCAGGGATCAGATCCCAAATCCATCCCCTATTCCCACTCCAAATCCAGGGATCAGACCTCAAATCCATCCCCTATTCCCGCTCCAAATCCAGGGATCAGATCCCAAATCCATCCCCTATTCCCACTCCAAATCCAGGGATCAGATCCCAAATCCATCCCCTATTCCCACTCCAAATCCAGGGATCAGACCTCAAACTGATCCCCTATTCCTGCCCCAAATCCAGGGGTCACATCCCAAATCCAGGGGTCAGATCCCAAACCAATCCTGCCCCCAAATCCAGGGATCAGATTCCAAACCCATCCCCTATTCCCGCCCTCAATCCCTGCCCCCGTTCCCAATCCCATCCCCAATTCCCGCCCCCAATCCCAGTCCCCGTTCCCGACCCCATTCCCGATCCCGCCCCTTTCCCCTCCCTGGGGGCGGGCTCGGGATCGGCCGCTCCTTTTCCAGCCCCGATCCCAAATCCCGGTGTTTGGTGGCCGCGCTCCTCCTGCTCTTCCTGCTTTTCCCTTTTTTCCCTCTTTTCCACTTTTCCCCTCTTTTCTCTCTTTTCCTCCTTCTCCCGTTATTCCCACTTTTCCCCCCTTTTTCAACTTTTCCCGTTATTCCCGCTATTCCCGTCTTTCCTTCCCGCTATTCCCGGTTTTCCCCGCTCTTCCCTTTTCCCCGTTTTCCCCGGTTTTTCCCGTTTTTCCCGGTTTTTCCCGTTTTTCCCCGCTCGCTCCCGCCGGGAATCCCGCGCGCTGCCCCCGGGGCGGTTTCGGGGCCGCGGGGCCGGAGCGGGGGCGCCGCTCCCGGAGCTGCTCCGGGCTCGGAATTCCGGGAATTGGGGGCGCTGAGCCCGGCCCGGGGAACATGAGAGGTGAGCACCCGAAATCCCAACCGGGGGGATCCCAAAATCCCACCCGGGAATCCCAAAATCCCACGCCGGAATCCCAAAATGCCACTGGAAGGGGATCCCAAAATCCCAAATCCCCTCCCCCAAAATTGGAGGGGAACCCAAAAACTCACAGGAGGGAATCCCAAAAACCCACCCGGGAGAATCCCAAAATCCCACTGAGGGAGGATCCCAAAATCCCACCGAGGGAGAATCCAAAAATGCCATTGAAGGGGATCCCAAAAACTTACAGGGGGAATCCCAAAATCCCACTTGGGAATCCCAAAATCCCTCTCGGGAATCTGAAAATCTCACCAAAAACCCACCTGGAAGAATCCTAAAATCCCACTTGGGAATCCCAAAAACTCACCCGGGAGAATCCCAAAATCCCACTGGGAGGGGATCCCAAAAACTTACAGAGGGAATCCCAAAATCCCAGAAAGGAGATCTCAAAATCCCACTGAGAGGGGATCCCAAACACCCACTCACGAATCCCAAAATCCCATTAGAGGGGATGTCAAAAACTTACAGAGGGAGAATCCCAAAATCCCACCCAGGAATCCCAAAATCCCACCCAGGAATCCCAAAACCTAGCTGGGAGAATCCCAAAATCCCACTGGGAGGGGATCCCAAAATCCCACTGGGTGGGGGGGATCCCAAAAACCTACCCAGGAATCCCAAAATCCCACCCGAGGAGAAACCCAAAATCCCACTCGGGAGTCCTAAAATCCCACCTGGGAATCCAGAAACCTAGCTGGGAGAATCCCAAAATCCTGCCGGGAGGGGATCCCAAAATCCCACTGCGGGGGGATCCCAAAAACCCACCCGGGGACAATCCCAAAATCCCACTTGGGAATCCTAAAAACCCACCCGGGAGAATCCCAAAAATCCCACTGGGAGGGGATCCCAAAAACACCTGGGGAGAATCCCAAAAACCCACCCAGGGAGAATCCCAAAACCCACTTGGAGGAATCCCAAAAATCCATGGGTGGGAAGGAGATTCCAAAACCCCACTCAGGGGGGAATCCTAAATTCCCACTGGGGATATCCCAAAAATCCACTGGGGGGAGAGGGGGATGGGATTTGGGCTCCCAGGGATCCCTAGAACAGGATTTGGGGTCTCAGGGATCTCTGGAATGGGATCTGGGCTCTCAGGGGTCCTTGGGATAGGATTTGGAATATCAGGGATCCCGGAATGGGATCTGGGATATCAGGGATCCTTGGAACGCGATCTTGGAGCTCAGGGATCCCGGGAACAGGATTTGGGATCTCAGGAACCTGGGATGAGATTTGGGATCTCAGGGATCCCAAGATGGGATTCAGGATCTCAGGGATTCCTGGATAGGATCTGGACTCTCCGGGGTCCCTGGAATGGGATTTGGGATCTCACGGATCCTTGGAGTGGGATTTGGGATCGCAGGGATCCTCGGGATGGGATTTGGGATCGCAGGGATTCGGGACGGGATCTGGGTGGGATTTGGGATCGCAGGGATCAGGGATGGGATCTGGGTGGGATTTGGGATCGCAGGGATCAGGGATGGGATCCGGTGTCCCTGACCCCGCTCTCGGTTCCCGCAGAGGCCGTGGCAGCCGAGGAGGAGGAGGAAGAGGAGGAGGCGCGGCCGCCCTTCGGCCCCAAAGGGGGTGGTGAGTGCAGGGGTTTGGGGTCAGGTTCGGGGTCGGGGGTTGGGTTTGGGGTCGGGTTTGGGGTCAGGGTTTGGGGTTTGGGGTCAGGTTTGGGGTCAGGGTTTGGGGTCAGGTTCAGGGTCGGGGGTTGGGGTCAGGGTTTGGGGTTTGGGGTCGGGTTTGGGGTCAGGGTTTGGGTCAGGGTTTGGGGCCGGGGTTTGGGGTCAGGTTTGGGGTCTGGGGTCGGGGTTTGGGGCCGGGGTTTGGGGTCAGGGTTTGGGGTCGGGGTTTGGGGTCAGGGTTTGGGGTTTGGGGTCAGGGTTTGGGCTCAGGGTTTGGGGTTTGGGGTCGGGTTTGGAGTTTGTGGTTGGGTTTGGGGTCAGGATGTGGGGTCGGGTTTTGGGTCTGGGGTCAGGGTTTGGGGTCAGGGTTTGGGGTCAGGGTTTGGGGTCGGGGTTTGGGGTCAGGGTTTGGGGTCGGGTTTGGGGTTTGGGGTCAGGGTTTGGGGTCAGGGTTTGGGGTCAGGGTTTGGGGTTTGGGGTCAGGTCTGGGGCCGGGTTAGGGGTTTGTGGTCGGGTTTGGGGTCAGGATGTGGGGTCGGGTTTCGAGTCTGGGGTCGGGGTTTGGGGTCAGGGTTTGGGGTCAGGGTTTGGGGTCGGGGTTTGGGGTCAGGGTTTGGGGTCAGGGTTTGGGGTCGGGGTTTGGGGTCGGGTTTGGGGTCAGGGTTTGGGGTCAGGTTTCGGGTTTGGGGTCAGGGTTTGGGGTCGGGTTTGGGGTCAGGGTTTGGGGTCAGGGCCGTTGGGAGCGGCCCCATCCCAACGCCGAGATCCCTTCCAGGCCATTCCCGTTCCCAGTCCCGGTCCCGGTGCCGCCGGGATCCCGGGCTGGGCGCCGCCGTGCGGATCCTGTTCGGGATGGCCGCGATGATCCTGGCGGCCGTGGCCACGCTGGGAACGCTGGGTGAGCGGGATTGGGAACGGGAATGGGATTGGGATTGGGGATCACAATTAGGATCCTGTTCGGGATGGTCAGGATGATCCTGGAGGCCGTGGCCGCACTGGGAACGCTGGGTGAGCGGGATTGGGGTTGGGAATGGGATTGGGATTGGGGATCACGATTAGGATCCTGTTCGGGATGGTCAGGATGATCCTGGAGGCCGTGGCCGCACTGGGAACGCTGGGTGAGCGGGATTGGGAACGGGAATGGGATTGGGATTGGGGATCACAATTAGGATCCTGTTCGGGATGGCCGGGATGATCCTGGAGGCCGTGGCCACACTGGGAACGCTGGGTGAGCAGGATCGAGGTTGGGAATGGGATTGGGAATGGGGATGGGATTGGGATCAGGATTGAGATGGGGATTGGGGTTGGGATTGGGGTTGGGATCGGGGTTGGGATTTGGATCAGGATCCTCTTTGGGCTGATCCTGGCCACCGTGGCCACACTGGGAGCGCTGGGTGAGTGGCATGGGGAACGGCATCGGGTTTGGGGTCAGGATTGGGGTTGGGATCGGGATTGGGATCAGGATCAGGATTGGTGTTGGGATCAGGATCCTGTTCGGGATGGCCAGGCTGATCCTGGCTGCCGTGGCCACGCTGGGAGCGCTGGGTGAGTGGGATCGGGATCAGGATTGGGATTGGGTTCAGGATCGGGATCAGGGTCCTGTTCTGGATGGCTGGGCTGATCCTGGGAGCGCTGGGTGAGTGGGATCGGGATCAGGATTGGGATTGGGTTCAGGATCGGGATCAGGGTCCTGTTCTGGATGGCTGGGCTGATCCTGGCTGGTGTGGCCACGCTGGGAGTGCTGGGTGAGCCGGATTGGGATCGGGGTCAGGATTGGGTTCGGGATTGGGATCAGGATCAGCATCGGGTTCGGGATTGGGATCAGGATCAGCATCGGGTTCGGGATTGGGATCAGGATCCTGTTCGGGACAGCTGGGTTGATCCTGGCCGCTGTGGCCACGCTGGGTGAGCAGGATCAGGATCGGGATTGGGAAGGGGATTGGAATTGGGATTGGGTTTGGTGTAGAGATTGGAGTTGGGAACGGGATTGGGGTTGGGATTGCGACTGGGGTCAGGATCATGATCGGGAACATGATTGGGTTGATCCTGGCCGCCATGGCCACGCTGGGAGCGCTGGGTGAGTGGGATTGGGATGAGAATTGGGATTAGGGTCAGGATTGGAGTTGGGATCCGATTCAGGTTGGGATTGGGACCGGGGTTGTGATTGGGAGTGGGGTCGTGGTCGGGGTTGGGATAGCAATCAGGATTGGGATGGGGATTGGGATCAGGGTCAGAGTTGGGGTCGGGATTGCCATCGGGGGTTCCGGGAATACGATCGGGGTGGGACTCCCAGAGCTCCTGGGATCCCTCGGGAATTATCCCGGGATGGGGGGGATTGATCCATGGACACCATGGGAATCACCTGGAGGGGGATCCCAGAGATTCCCCGGCAGATCCCAGGGATCTCCCATTCCCAAAGGATCAATCCTGGAGGATGTTGGATTCCAGCAATTCCCAGGGGGATCCCAGGGATCCCACATTCCCAAGGGATGGAATTCCCAAGGGAGTTGGACCCCAACCCCTCCCAGGTGATCCCCAGGGATCTGCCATTCCCAAGGGATCAATCCTGGAGGATCTCTGGCAGATCCCAGCCCCGGGAATGCCCATCCCGATCCCGCGGCATTCCCACATTCCCGCATTCCCGGGCAGCGTTCCGGAGGGTCGATTCCATCTCCGCGGATATCAGCTCAGCCCAGGCCTCGTGGGAGCGCGGGATCCTCTCCCTGCACCAGGAGCTCCAGGCAAGGGGTGAGATTTCCAGGGATTAATCCCCCTTTTCCTGGGATCCCCTCCTTTCCCAAGATCCCTCCCTTTTCCAGGAATTCCCTTTTTTCAGGGACTGAGTGAGCTTTCCCAGGCATTGCCCCTTTTCCAGGGATTCCTCCCTTTTCCTGGGTTTCCCCCTTTTCCAGGGATTCTCACTTTCCCAAGGATTCCTCCTTTACCAGGGATTCTCCCCTTTTCCCGGGATTCCTCCCTTTTCTAGGGATTCTCCCTTTCCCAGGGATTTCCCTCTTTCCCAGGGATCTCTCCCTTTTCCCGGGATCTCTCCCTTTTCTATGGTTCAATCCCATTCCCAGGGATTCCCCCTTTTCCAGGGGTTCTCACTTTTCCCAGGATTCCTCCCTTTTCCAGGGTTTCAAACCTTTTCCAAGGATCCCTCCTTTCCCAGGGATTCCCCTTTTTCCAGGGATCCTCCCCTTTACAAGAGATTCCCCTTTCTCCAGGGATTTCCCCTTTTCCAGGATCTCTCCCTTTCCCAGGGATTTCCCCTTTTCCAGGGATCCCTCCTTTTCCAGTTCCCCGCTTTTTTTCCCAGGATTTTGGGCAGATCCCGAGGGTGGGGTTGGTGGGGGTGGGGCTTTGGAGAAGATCTCCCAGTGCCCAGCACCAGGATCATGGAATCCTCCAATTCCCAAGGATTAGGGTGGGAAGGGATTTGGGTGGGATCAAGCTGGAATTTCCACAGCGCCCATCTCTGCGGTGATGGAATCCTGGAATTCCGAAGGATTTGGGTGGGAAGGGATTTGGGATCCGGCTGGAATTGTCCCAGTGCCGGTTTCTGGGATCGTGGAATCCTGGAATCCCAGAATTCCGAAAGATTTTAGCGGGAAGGGCCCTCCAGGCTCCATCCCGGGCCCCTTCCTGAGCCCAGGCTGCTCCAATTCCCGGCTGGCCCGGCCTGGAGGGGAATCCGGGCACGGAGAGGGAAGAGGAGCGCTCTGGGATTGGGAATGGGGCCGGGAAAACAACGGGATAGCGGGATAACAACGGGATAGCGACAGGACAGCAATGGGATAAAGATGGGATAACAATGGAATACCGAGATAACAGGATAATGGGATAACGATGGGATAAGAACGGCATAATGGGATAACAATGGGATAATGGGATAACGGGATAGGGGGATAACAATGGGATAAGGACAGGATAACTGGGATAGCAATGGGATAACAATGGGATAAAAGTGGGATAACGGCAGGATAACAAAGGGATAATAATAGGATAACAATAGGATAACGGGATAACAACAGGATAACAAAGGGATAACAACAGGATAGCAACGGGATAACAATGGGATAATGGGGATAATGAGACAATGGCGTAATGGGATAACAGGATTGTGGGATAACGGGATAAGGGGATAACAATGCAATGGGTTAGCGGGGTTACGGGATACTGGAGTAATGGCATAATGGGATAATGGGATAGCAAAATAGTGGGATAATGGGGTAACGATGGGATAACAATGGGATAATGGGATAACGGGGTAATGGGATAACGTGGTTATGGGATAACAGGATATTGGGATAAAGGGAAGACAGGAAAAAGGGATAACACAATAACGGGATAATGGGATAACAAAATAGTGGGATAATGGGGGTAGCGATGGGATAACAATGGGATAACGGGGTAACGGGATAACGTGGTTATGGGATAACAGGATATTGGGATAAAGGCAAGACAGGAAAAAGGGATAACACAATAACAGAATAATGGGATACTGGGATAATGGGATAATGTGGTAATGGGATAATGGGATAAGGGGATAGCGGGATAATGGGGTGATGGGATAATGGGATAATGGGATACCAGGATAACGGTAATAGGATACCGAGGAAAATGGGGTAATGGGATAACAGGATAGTGGGATAATGGAGTAACGGGATAGTGGGGTACCAGGATAACGGGAAAACATCTGGATCCTGTCCCCGTCTCAGGCAGGAGAAGCAGCTCCGGGAACGGCTCCGTGTTCTGGGACGCAGCGGCGCTGGGCCGGGAGCTCTCGGAGCTGCAGCGGGAGCTGTCGGAGCTGCGGGAGACGCTCCAGGCGCAGGAATTCCAGCTGGAGCAAACCGCCCGCAGCCAGGCCCGCCTGGCCAGCGCCGGCTCCGACCTCTCCATGGGGCTGGAAATCTGCTCCGATTCCCTGGGGAGCATCGGCCGGAGCCTGGAGCGGCTGCGGGATTGGGCTGGGGAGTGCCAGGGCGGCACCGCCCGCCTGCGGAATTCCCTGCGGGATCTGGCCTGGCGGGAATCCCAGCTTGGAGCGGCGGTGGAGCCGCTGAATTCCAGCCTGGCGCAGAATTCCCGGCGCCTCCGCGAGCTCCGGGAGAACGCGGCCGAGGGGACGCCGGCGCTGCGGGCGGCGTCGGCCGAGGGGCAGAGCCTGACGCGGCTCCTCGGGACGCTCCGCGCGGATTCATCCCGGAGCGCGGATCGGCTCCGGAGCTTCCAGGCGGGGCCGGGCCCGGCCACGCGGGAAACCTCCCGGAATTCCGAGGGGCTGCAGGAGCCGGCGGCGCATTTGCTGGCGCCGCAGCCGCGGCTGGACGGGGCCGCGGCGCAGCTGGAGGAGCAGCGGGACGGCGCGCGGGAGCCGCGGCGGCGCCGCGCCCGGGAAGGGCGGCGCGGGCAGGAGCGGCCGCGGGAGCTGCGGTCCCGGCTGGAATCGCTGCGGGAGGAGCTGCGGAGCGTCGAGGCCGGCGCGGGCGGCGCGGAGGCGCACGTGCGAGCCACGCTGCGCTTCCTCGAGGCCGCGCGCGATTCCTGCGGGCGGGAGCCGCGCGGGCACGGCCGGGAGCTGCGGGAGATGAGCAGGGACGCGGCGGCGATCCGGGCGGGAACGGAGGAGCCGCGGGAGCGATCCGGGATCCTGGCAATGCGGCTGGAGCCGGGCGTGAGGAACCCGAGCCTGGCCGTGCGGGAGATGAGGGCGGTGGATGCGCGGCACGGGGAGATGCTGCGGAATGCCAGCGAGATCCGAGGTCAGCGCGGAGCCGGGGAGGGAATGTGGATTTTCCCGGGATGGAGCGGGATTGGGGCGTCCTGATCCCTGGGAATGATCCTGGGCAAGGTCTGGGATGGGCTGGGAGTGTTCCATGGATGTGGGGCTGTCCCTGGGATAGGGTGGGATTTCTTCTTGGGATGGGGTGGCATTTTGGGAATCCTGATCCCAAGGAATGTGGAGCAAGATCCAAACCCTGAGGTCTGGGATGGGCTGGGATCATTCCATGGATATGGGGTTGTCCCTGGGACAGCAGGGCGGTGACAGTTCTTGGGATGGGGTGGCATTTTGGGAACCCCGATCCCAAATCTGCTGGAGGATCCAAACTTGGAGGTCTGGGATGGGCTGGGATCATCCGGTGGTTTTGGGGTGCCCCAGGGAGAGGCGACCCTACCCTGGATGAGGGGTGGGATTTTGGGAACCCTGATCCCAAATCTTCTGGAGGAGGATCCAAACCCTGAGGTCTGGGATGGCACCGGGATCATCCCGTGGGTTTGGGGCTGTCCCAGGGACAGCAGGGAGGTGACCCTTCTTGGGATGGGGTGGGATTTCTGGGAATCCTGATCCCAAATCTGCTGGAGGAGGATCCAAACCCCCCACTCTGAGGTCAAGGATGGTGCCAAAATTATCCCGTGGTTTTGGGGCTGTCCCAGGGAGAGGCGACCCTTCCGTGGATGAGGGGTGGCATTTTGGAAACCCCGATCCCAAATCAGCTGGAGGAGGATCCAAAACCTCACTCTGAGGTCTGGGATGGGACTGGGATCATTCCATGGGTTTGGGGCTGTCCCCAGGACAGCAGGGAGGTGACTGTTCTTGGGATGGGGTGGGATTTTTGGCATCTTCTGGAGAAGGATCCAAACCCTGACGTCTGGGATGGCACCACGATCATCCCATAGGTTTGGGGCTGTCCTAGTGGGAGGTGACTGTTCTTGGGATGGGGTGGGATTTTGGGAATCCTGATCCCAAATCTGCTGGAGGAGGATCCAAACCCCCACTCTGAGGTCAAGGATGGTGCCAAAATTATCCCGTGGTTTTGGGGCTGTCCCAGGGAGAGGCGACCCTTCCGTGGATGAGGGGTGGCATTTTGGGAATCCTCATCCCGAGCTGGATGGAGGAGGATCCAAACCCTGAGGTCTGGGATGGGCCGGGATCACCCCCTGGATGCGGATCCCCGGGACAGAGGGCGCTGCCCCCTCTGGATGAGCGGTGGGATTTTGGGATTTGGGGATGTCCCGACTCCTTCTGGTGTCACTCCCCCCTGTCCCCTCAGCACGGAGCCAGCGGCTCTTCCCAATCCCCCTGGGTGGAATTCCTGCTTTTCCAGCACCGGAGCATTCCTGGAATGGAATTCCCAGTTTTCTGGGATCAGAGCATTCCCCAGATGAAAGTCCCGGTTTTCCCTGGACTGGAGCATTCCCATTGCCCGTGTGGAATTCCCAGTTTCTCCCGAGACCATTCCCATTCCCCGTGTGGCATTCTCGGTTTTCCTGGGATGGAATTCCCGGTTCTCCTGGCATCATTCCCATTCCCCAGATGAAATTCCCATTTTCCCGGAAGCATTCCCATTCTGTGATGGAATTCTCATTTTTCCCAGGAGCATTCCCATTCCCCATGTGGAATTCCCAGTTCTCCCGGGAGCATTCCCATTCCCCGTATGGCATTCCCGGTTTCCCCGGGAGCATTCCCATTCCCCATGCGGCATTCCCGGTTTTCCCGGGATGAAACTCCCATTTTTCCCGTGACCATTCCTCGTGTGGAATTCCCGTTTTCCCGTGACCATTCCATTCCCCGGGTGCCATTCCCGGGTTTTCCCGTGATGAAATTCCCGTTTTTCCTGTGACCATCCCCACACCCCGCGTGCCATTCCCGTTTTCCCGTGACCATTCCCATTCCCCGGGTGCCATTCCCGTTTTTCCCGGGACCATTCCCATTCCCGCATCCCCTCTTTGTCGTTCCAGGCGTTCCGGGGCTGCCGGGGCCGCGCGGCCCCGAGGGCGACACCGGGCGCGGGGGCGCTCCGGGAGCCGCGGGCCCCGGGGGCGGCCGCGGGGATTGGGGAGCGCCGGGAGCGCCGGGAGCGCCGCCGGGAGCGGCCGGACCGCGCGGGGAACCGGGCCCGAGCGGAGCGCCGGGGAGCCCCGGGCCCCAGGGCGCCAAGGGCGGGATGGGCCTGCCCGGAGCCCGCGGGCAACCGGGGACACCGGGCGGGAGCGGAGCCCCGGGGGCTGAGGGGGCACCGGGGACAGAGGGACAGCCCGGAGCCCGCGGGGAGACCGGGACAGCCGGGGAACCGGGGACAGCGGGGACAGCGGGAATAGCGGGACTGCCGGGAGCACCGGGGCCACCGGGACCGCCCGGGCCACCGGGGCCACCGGGGCCGCCCGGACTCTGACCAGGACGGGGACAGGAGGCACCGGGACCACCGGGAGCGCCCGGAGCCCGCGGGGAGACCGGGACAGCCGGGGAACCGGGGACAGCGGGGGAGCCCGGGGAGAGGGGAGAGCCGGGAATGCCGGGACTGCCGGGACCACCCGGGCCACCGGGACCGCCGGGACCATGACCGGGACAGGGACAGCGACAGGGGACAGCGGGGACAGCGGGGGAGCCAGGAGAGAGGGGAGCGCCGGGACTCTGACCGGGACAGGGACAAGGACAGGGGGACAGGGACAGCGGGGACAGGGAGAGCCCGGGGAGAGGGGAGCGCCGGGAATGCCGGGACTGCCGGGACCGCCCGGGCCACCGGGACTCTGACCGGGACAGGGACACAGCGGTGACACAGGGACATCCCGGAGAGAGGGGGACACCGGAGACACCGGGACCCTGACTGGGACAGCGACAGGGGGACAGGGGGACAGAGACAGGAGGCGGACAGGGACACGGACAGGGGGACAGCAGTGCCACCTCCAGGACAGGGGACAGCGACACACGGACAGGGGACACGGACAGGGGGACAGCAGTGCCACCTCCGGGACCGTGATGGGGACGGCGACACGGACAGGGGACAGCGACAGGGCAGCAGTGCCACCTCCAGGACAGGGGACAGGGACACAGGGACACGGACGGGGACAAGGACACGGAGGGGAGGACAGGGGCAGGGGGCGGCAATGCCACCTCCGGGACCGTGATGGGGACACGGACAGGGGGGCAGCAGCGCCACCCTCAGGACAGGGACAGCGACACAGGGACAGGGGACACGGACAGGGGGACAGCGACACACGGACGGGGGACACGGACAGGGGGGACAGCAGTGCCACCTCCAGGACAGGGGACAGTGACACAGGGACAGGGGGACAGCAGTGCCACCTCCAGGACAGGGGACAGCGACACAGGGACGCGGCCGCGTGTCACACAGGGCGACAGGGGCAGCGACAGCGGGACGGGGACGGGGGGACGGCAGTGCCACCCCCGGGAGGGGACACGGGGACAAGGACAGGAACTGGGACAAGGGGTCCCCAGTGTCACCCCAGGACGGGGACAGGGACCCCAGTGCCAGCCCCGCGGTGTCCCCGCTGTCCCTCCCAGCTCGGGGCCAGGGGCCGGTCCCCGCCCCCGGGAATTCCTTGGGAATTTTGTTGGGAATTTTTCGGGAATCCGGGGGGGTCCCGGCTGGGCCTGGGGGTGTCCCCGAGGTGTCCCCGAGGTGTCGCGGCTCAATAAAGGTCCCTGTGCATCCTGAACTGGGAACGCTGGGAATTCCGGGAATTCCGGGAATTCCGGGACAGCCCAGCGGGAACTGGGAACGCTCTGAGCCCCGGATCCCAAATCTTGGCTTTAGGGGATCCCCAATCCCGAATTTAGGGGATCCCAAATCTTGGCTTTAGGGGATTCCCAAATCCCAGATTTGGGGGATCCCCAATCCCAGATTTAGGGGATCCATCCCCTCTTCCCTCATCCCAGGCTGGGATTCCCAAATCTCGAATTTAGGGGATCCCAAATCCCAAATTTAGGGGTTCCCATTCCCCTTTCCCTCATCCCGGATCCGGATCCCCAATCCCGGTTTTAGGGGATCCCAATCCCGGTTTTAGGGGATCCCAAACCCTGGTTTTAGGGGATCCCAATCCCGGTTTTAGGGGATCCCAATCCCGGTTTTAGGGGATCCCAAACCCTGGTTTTAGGGGATCCCAATCCCGGTTTTAGGGGATCCCAATCCCGGTTTTAGGGTGTCCCCAATCCTGGCTTTGGGGGACTCCAAACCCCGGTTTTAAGGGATCCCAAATCCCGGCTTTGGGGGATCCCAAATCCCAAATTTAGGGGTTCCCATTTCCTTTTTCCTCATACCAGATCCGGATCCCAAATCCCGGTTTTAGGGGATCCCAATCCCGGTTTTAGGGTGTCCCCAATCCTGGCTTTGGGGGGACTCCAAATCCTGGTTTTAGGGGATCCCAAATCCTGGTTTTAAGGGATCCCAAATCCTGGCTTTGGGGGATCCCAAATCCCGGTTTTAGGGGATCCCAAATCCCGAATTTAGGGGGTTCCCATTCCCCTTTCCCTCATCCTGTATCCAGATCCCAAATCCCAGATTTAGGGGATCCCCAATCCTGGTTTTAGGGGATCCCAAATCCCAGATTTAGGGGATCCCCAATCTCGGTTTTAGGGGATCCCCAATCTCATATTTAGGGGATCCCATTCCCCCTTCCCTCATCCCGGGCCGGCATTCCCAAATCCCAGCTTTGGAAGATCCCAAATCCAGAATTTAGGGGACCCCAAATCTCGGCTTTGGGGGGGATCCCAAATCCCAGATTTAGGGGAATCCCAAAATCCGGGCGCGGCCGCTGGGAAAACGGCAGGGAGGGGGGATTGGGATTTGCGGGAATTTGGGGGGGGAATTTCTGGGAATTTTGGGGGGGGGATTTGGAGCATTTTGTAATTTCAAGAATTTAGGGGAATTTTTTGGGATTTTGGGGGGGGGGGGGGATTTGAGGGGGCTGAGAGCGGGAATTCATGGCAGGGATGGGAGCGGGCTGGGATCATCCCGATGGGATTTGGGGGAATTTGGGGAGGATTTGGGGGAATTTCTGGGGGAACTTTGGGGAATCTTGGGGAATTTGGAGGGGCTGAGCCCCGGGAAGGGTTGGGATCATCCCGACAGGATTTGGGGAGCATTTTGGGAGAATTTGGGGGGGATTTGGGGGGGGGGGGGGGGAGCTTGAGCCCTGGGAAGGGGTTGGGATCGTCCCAATGGAATTTTGGGGAGAATTTGGGGGATCCGAGCCCTGGGAAATGCTGGGATCATCCCGACGGGATTTGGGGGGAATTTTGGGGGGGGGGCTGACCCCGAGGACGTGCCAAGAACATCCCCACGGGATTTTTGGGAAACTGGGGAGGAGTTGGGGGAATTCCCTGCTTTTTCCTGTTTTCTGGATGCCCCCCATTTTTTTCCTGGTTTTTTTTCCACTTTTTCCCCCATTTTTCCCCATTTTTTCCCAGTTTTTCCCAGTTTCCCTCTGTTTTCCCATTATTGCCAGTCTCCCTTCATTTTTTCCTCCTTTTCCAGTTTTTATCTCAGTTTTTCCCTGTTTACCCCCTTTTTCCCCATTTTTTCCCTATTTCCCCCCCATTTTTTCCCAGTTTTTCTCTGTTCTTCCCATTTCCCTCACCTTTTCCTGGTTTTTCCCAGTTTTTCTGAGTTTTTCTCCAGTTTTTCCCTATTTTCCCCCTATTCTCCCATTTTTCCCCATTTTTCCAGGTTTTTCCTGGTTTTCCCTGTTTTTCTCTGTTGTTCCCATTTCCCCCCCATTTTTCCAGGTTTTTCCCATTTTCACCATTTTTTTCCTGTTTTTTTTCCCCTCCATTTTTTCCCAGTTTCTCCCAGTTTTCCCCCCATTTTCCCCATTATTTCCAGTTTCTCCCCATTTTTCCTCATTTTCCCGTTTTTCTCAGTTTTTCCCTGTTCTCCCCCCCATTTTCTCCTATTTTCCCCCCCATTTTTCCAGTTTTGTCTGGTTATCCTAGTTTATCACAGTGCTACCCCTATTCCCCCTATTTCCAGGTTTTTCACAGTTTTTCTGCGTTTTCCCCACTTTTTCCCTATTTTCCACTTTTCTTCCCATTTTCCCCTCTTTCCCCCCCATTTTCCAGGTTTTTCCTGGTTTTTCCAGTTCTTCCCATATTTTTTCCCCAATTTCCCCAAATCTGCAGAATTCCAGGGCGGCCCCGGCCGATCCCAGCCTTTGTTCCTTTGTTGGCTCCGACATTCCCGGGAATTCCCCCAAAGTCCGGGAGCGCTCCCGAGGTCCCCGTGGGGCCGGAGCCCGAGTTCCTGTGCCTCGGATTTCCATTTTCCTGGGAATTTCCAATTTCCTGGGACTTTCCATTTTCCTGGAATTCCGGAAGGATCCTCCCGGGGCCGGAGGGATCCTCACATGAAATCGTCGGAGTCGTTCCCGTCCTGCGGGGAACAGTGGGAATTTGGGAATTGGGAATGCTGGGAATGCGGGAATTTGGGAATTGGGAATGCTGGGAATGTGGGGATTTGGGAATTTGGGAATTGGGAATGCTGGAAATGCGGGGATTTGGGAATTGGGAATGCTGGGAATGTGAGAATTTGGGATTTTGGGAACTGGGAATGGGGGAATGGGAACTGGGAATGGGGGGATGGAGGAACAGGAATGGGGAATTTGGGAATGGGAATGTGGGATTGGGGAATTTGGGAATGGGGGAATGGGGAATTCGGAATGGGAGAATTGGGGATGTGGGAATGTGGGAATTTGGGAATGTGGGAATTGGGAATGGGGAATGGAAACTGGGATTGGGAATAGGAATTGGGAACTGGGAATTTGGGATGTGGGAACTGGGAATGTGTGAGCAGGATTGGGAGTTTGGGAATGTGGGAATTTGGGAATGAGAATTGGGAATGGGGGAATTCCCATGGGGACACTTTGGGGTCGGGAGCTCTGGGAATTCTCATCATTCCCATTCCCATTATTCTCAATCCCACCATTCCCAATCCATTCCCATTATTTCCAGTATTCCCACTCCCATTATTCCCATTGTTCCCATTCCCACTATCCCCACTCCCATTATTCCCATAATTCTCATTCTTCCCCTTATTCCTAATCCCACTATTCACTTAATTCCCATTCTCCCCATTATTCCCAATCCCATTATTTCCACCATTCCCATCCCCATTCCCAGTCCCATCTCCAAGATTCCCATATTTCCCATTATTCCCAATCCCACCCCCATTATTCCTCCCATTCCCATCCATTCCCAATCCCATTACTCCCAATCCTGTTATTTCCATCCCATTCCCAATTCCATTACTCCAATCATTCTCATTATTCCCAATCCTAATCCCATTCCCATTATTCCCATCCCCATTATCCTCATTATTCCCAACCCCATTCCCATCCCATTTCTATTATTCCCATTCCCATCATTCCCAATCCCATTCTCATTATTCCAATTATTCCCAATCCCATTTTTCCCATTATTCCCAATCCCATTAATCCCATCATTCCCATTCTCCTCAATCCCATTATTCCCATTTTTCCCATTCCCATTATCCCCAATCCCATTTATCCTATTATTCCCATTCCCATCATTCCCATTATTCAAATCACATTCCCATTATTCCCAATCTCATTATTCCCATTCCCATTCCAATCCCATTCCAGTCCCATTCCCATCATTCCCATTCCCATCATTCCCATTCCAATTATTCCCAATCCCGGTTCTCCCATTTTTCCCATCCCCTCATTCCCATTATTCCCATTCCCAGTATTCCCATCCCTGCCATTATTCCCATCCCATTCCCATCATTCCCACTATTCCAAATCTCATTATTCCTGTTCCCATTCCATTCCATTCCGTCCCAATCCCATTCCCATTATCTCATTATTCCCATTATTCCCATTATTCCCATTATTACCATTCCAATTATTCCCAATCCCACCAATCCCATCATTCCCAATCCCATTGCTACCATTCCCACTATCCCCATCATTCCCATTCCTGTTCTTCCCATTACAATTATTCCCATTAATCCCATAATTCCCAATCCCATTCCCATTATTCCAATCTCATTATTCCCATTCCCATTCCAATCCCACTCCAATCCCGTTCCCATCATTCCATTCCAATTATTCCCAATCCCACCAATCCCATCATTCCCAATCCCATTGCTACCATTCCCAGTATCCCCATCATTCCCATTCCTGTTCTTCCCATTAACCCCATTATTCCCAATCCCACTCCCATTACTCCAAATCTCATTATTCCCATTCCCATTTCCATTCCAATTACTCCCAATCCCATTTATCCCATTTTCCCCATTATTCCCATTCCCAACCCCATTCCCATTATTTCCGTATTTCCCGCTATCCCCATTATTCCCGGTTTCCCCGCCCCTTTCCCGAGGAATTCCCGGAATTCCGGGGGCTCCCCGCTCACCTGGTTGGAGGACATGTTCTCGGCCTTCATCAGGGACGAGTAGCTCCTGCAGGGACAATTCCCACAATTATCCCGGAATTCCGAGGGAAATCCCACTGGAAAACCGGGGAGAGGATCCCAGAATTCCCGAGGGTTTTCCCTCTGGAATTCCGCCCCTCGTCAATTATCCCGGAATTCCTTTTTCCCGAGGTTTTGCTCTGGGATCTCCCAGCTGGAAATTCCTGGACTTGGGATCCAGCATTCCCAGAATTCCGTCATTCGTTCCCACCTGAGCTCCTCCATCTCCTTTTTCCGGCGCTGCTCCTCGCGCTGCTCCTGCAGCTCCATGCGGCACCGCCACCAAACATTCCCAACATTCCCAACAAACATTCCCAACAAACATTCAGGGAATTCCCACCAGACATTCCCACCGCTCCTGGCACTCCCAGCATTCCGGGAATTCCCACCTGAGCTCCTCCATCTCCTTTTTCCGGCGCTGCTCCTCCCTCTGCTCCCGGCGCTGCTCCTGCAGCTCCATCCAGTGCCGCACCAAACATTCCCAACATTCCCAACACACATTCCCACCACACGTTCCTGGAATTCCCAATAACCATTCCCAGTATTTCCAGCATTCCCAGAATTCTGGGAATTCCCACCTGAGCTCCTCCATCTCCTTTTTCCGGCGCTGCTCCTCCTTCTGCTCTCGGCGCTGCTCCTGCAGCTCCAGGCGGGACCACCACCAAACATTCTCACCAAACATTCCCGGAATTCCCAATAACCATTCCCAACATTTCCAGCATTCCCGGAATTCCCACCTGAGCTCCTCCATCTCCTTTTTCCGGCGCTGCTCCTCGCGCTGCTCCCGCCGCTGCTCCTGCAGCTCCATGCGGCGCCGCCCCCGCTCCTCCCGGTCCCGGCATTCCCGCTCGGCCGCCAGGTCCGGGAAGCGCTCCACGCGCGTCCGCTCCAGCCGGCGCAGCTGCTCCGCCCCGCGCCGCTCCACCGTCACCGAACGGACCTGGAACGGGGGTTAGACCGGGATTAAACCGGGGTTAAACTGGGATGAATCGGGGGTTGAACTGGGATTAAACAGGGGCTAAATGGGGATTGAAGCGGGGATTAAACCAGGGGTTGACGGGACTTTGCTGCTCCGCCCCGCGCCGCTCCACCGTCACTGAACGCACCTGGAACAAAGGGGTTAGACTGGGCTTAGACTGGGGTTAAACTGGGGCTAAACTGGGATTGAACTGGGGTTAAATCAAGGATTGAACCGGAGTTAAACTGGGATTGAACCGGGGATTAATCTGGGAATGAAACCGGGGATTAAACCAGGGTTTAATGGGAGTGCGCTGCTCCGCCCCGCGCCGCTCCACCGTCACTGAACGCACCTGGAACAAAGGGGTTAGACTGGGCTTAGACTGGGGTTAAACTGGGGTTAGACTGGGATTGAACTGGGGTTAAACTGGGGATTGAACCGGAGTTAAACTGGGATTGAACCGGGGGTTAAACTGGGGATTGAACCGGGGATTAAACCAGGGTTTAATGGGAGTGCGCTGCTCCGCCCCGCGCCGCTCCACCGTCACAGAACGCACCTGGAACAAAGGGATAGACCGGGGTTAACTGGGGATTAAACTGGGGTTAGACTGGGATTGAACCAGAGTTAAACTGGGGATTGAACCGGAGTTAAACTGGGATTGAACCGGGGGTTAATCTGGGAATGAAACCGGGGATTAAACCAGGGTTTAATGGGAGTGCACTGCTCCGCCCCGCGCCGCTCCACCGTCACAGAACGCACCTGGAACAAAGGGATAGACCGGGATTAAACCGGGGTTAAACCGGGGTTAGACTGGGATTGAACCGGGATTAAACCGGGGTTAAATTGGGGATTGAACTGGGGTTAAACTGGGATTAAACCAGGGGTTAATGGGACTTTGCTGCTCCACCCCACGGCGCTCCACCATCACCGAACGGACCTGGAACGGGGGGTTAGACCAGGATTAAACCGGGGTTAAACTGGGGTCAGACCAGAGATTACACTGGGGATTAAACTGGGGATTAAATTGGGATTAAACTGGGAATTAAACTGGGAACTGGGCGTGCGCTGCTCCGCCCCGCGGCGCTCCACTGTCACTGAACGCACCTGGGACAAGGGTTAAACCTGGGCTTAGACCAGGCTTAAACTGGGCTTAAACTGGGATTAAACCGGGGTTAAACTGGGAATGAACCCAGGGATTAAGCAGGGACTAACAGGACTGCACTGCTCCACTGTCACCGAGCGCAGCTGGGATTGAACGGGGGTTAGACTGGGATTAAACCCGGGTCACACCAGGATTTAAACTGGGATTGAACTGGGGTCCAACTGGGGACTAAACTGGGGGTTAACCCGGATTAACAGAAATTAAACTGGGAACTGAGAGCGCGCTGCTCCGCCGCCCGCCGCTCCGGCGTCACCGAGCGCACCTGGGATTGAACCGGGGTTAAACCGGGCTTAAACCGGGATTAAACCGGGATTAAAGTGGGAATTGGGATTGCACTGCTCCACCATCATGGACCACACCTGGGAAACAGGGATTAAACCAGGAGTTAAACCAGGAGTTAAACCGGGAATTGAACTGGGAATTGAAGCGGGAATTTAACGGGGAACTGGGGCGGTTCCCAACGGGAGACGCGTCCCGGTGCTGCGCTCTGCTGGCGATGGCGGGGATTGCGGGAAAACCGGGAATGTGGAATATTCCCAATGGGAAAAACGTCCCAGTCCTGGTTTGTGTTGGGAATTGTGGGGGAAATCGGGAATGCAGAATGTTCCTGGTGTTCCCATTCCCGGATTCCCGAGGTTCCCATTCCCAGATTCCAAATGACCATTCCCACATTCCCACTCTTCCCATTCCCACATTCTCACTCTTCCCATTGCCACAGTTCCCATTGTTCCCATTTCCACATGCCTGTTGTTCCCATTCCCAGTTCCCGCTGCTCCCATTGTTTCCATTGCCAGATTCCCAATGACCATTCCCAAATTCCTGAGGTTCCTATTCCCAAACTGATTCCCGAGGTTCCCCATTCCCAATTCCCGCTGTTCCCATTCCCACATTCTCATTCCCACTCCCACATTCCTCTGTTCCCAAATTTCCACATTTATTCCCATTCCCATGTCCCTCACGTTCTTGTGCTGGTGGAAGCTGATTTGTTCCCACTCCCATTCCCACTTCCAATTCCCACTGTTCCCATTCCCACATTCCCAGATTTATTCCCATATCCATTCCTGTGTCTCTCATGTCCTCGTGCTGGTGGAAGCCAATCTGCTCCCATTCCCAATCCCTGCCTTTCCCATTGCTCCCATTCCCATTCCCCCATTCTCATTGGTCCCATTCCCACATTCTCAAATTCCCAGATTCATTCCGAAATTCCCAGATTTATCCCCAGATTTATTCCCATCTCTCACGTCCTTGTGCTGGTGGAAGCCTGCGTGTTCCCATTCCCATTTACACGTTCCCAGATTTTTTATTCCCATTCCCGCCCCTCGCTCACGTCCCTGTTGCAGCAGAAGCCGATCTGATCCCATTCCCAAATTCCCAGATCTCCCGTGTCTGTCTCATGTCCTTGTGCCGGTGGAAGCCGATCTGATCCCATTCCCATTCCCACATTCCCATTCCCACATTCCCATTCCCAAACTCCCAGATGTATTCCCCTCTCTCACTCACATCCTTGCTGTAGTGGAAGCCGATCTGATCCCATTCCCATTTCCCATTCCCATATTCCCAGATTATTCCCAGATTATTCCCATTCCCCCACACACATCCTTGCTGTGGTGGAACCTGATCTGTTCCCATTCCCAATCCCCAGATTTATTCCCAAATCCCAGATTTATTCCCAGATTTATTCCCTCACTCACATCCTTGCTTTGGTGGAAGCCGATCTGATCCCATTCCCAAATTCCCAGATTTATTCCCAAATTCCCAGATTTATTACCAGATTATTCCCATTCCCATCACCTCACTCACGTCCTTGCTGCGGTGGAAGCCGATCTGACCCCATTTCCCAAATTCCCAATCCCAATCCCAAATTCCCAGATTTATTCCGTCGCTCACGTCCTTGCTGTGGCAGAAGCTGATCTGATCCCATTCCCACATTCCCAGTCCCATTCCCAAATTCCCAGATTTCCCATTCCCACATTATCCCATCCCACTCACATCCCTTCTGCGGTGGAAGCCGATCTGTCCCCATTCCTGCATTCCCAATTCCCAATCCCAAATTCCCAGATTATTCCCATCCCCTCACTCACGTCCTTGCTGCGGTGGAAGCTGATCTGATCCCATTCCCAAATTCCCAGATTCATTCCCAAATTCCCAGATTTATTCCCAGATTATTCCCATTCCCATCCCCTCACTCACGTCCTTGCTGCGGTGGAAGCCAATCTGATCCCATTCCCAATCCCAATTCCCAAATTCCCAGATTATTCCCAGATTTATTCCCAGATTATTCCCATTCCCGTCTCACTCATGTCCTTGCTGTGGTGGAAGCCGATCTGATCCCATTCCCACATTCCCAGATTCATTCCCAAATTCCCAGATTTATTCCCAGATTATTCCCATTCCCCTCTCACTCACGTCCTTGCTGCGGTGGAAGCCGATCTGATCCCATTCCCAAATTCCCAATCCCAATCCCAAATTCCCAGATTTATCCCCTCACTCACGTCCTTGCTGCGGTGGAAGCCGATCTGCCCCACGTCCATGTCGGGCGTTTTGCGCAGGTTGCTCCAGGGCGTGTAACCACGGTCACCGAGCTAGCTTGCAGCCGGGAAACGGGGTGAAAACGGGGGAAAATGGGTAAAATTACACAAAATGGGATAAATGGGGGTACAGCACGGCACCGAGCACCGCTTGCAGCCTGGAAACGGGGCGGAAATGGGCAAAAACAGTAAAAATGGATAAATCGGATAAACCACGGACACCGAGCATCGCGTGCAGCCTGGAAACGGGGCAAAAACGGGCAAAAAAGGGCAAAACCAGGATAAAACAGTTAAAATGGGGTAAACCACCGTCACCGAGCTCAGCTTGCCGCCTGGAAACCGGGGCGAAAAAGGGCCAAGACAGCAAAAAATGGATAAAATTGGATAACCACGGTCACCGAGCTCAGCGTGCAGCCGCGGGAAATGGGGGAAAACAGGGGAAAAGGGGCAAAAATGGCATTAAATGGGATAAAGTGGGGTAACCACCATCATGGAGCTCAGCTTGCAGCCTGAAAACGAGGCAAAAACGGGGGAAAATGGGAAAAAACAGGATAAAATGGATAAAAACGAATAAACCATGGTCACTGAGCTCCGTTTGCAGCCTGTGGGAACGGGGTGAAAATGGGGGAAAATGGGCAAAACTGGATAAAAACGGATAAACCACGGTCACTGAACTCAGCTTGCAGCCTGGAAACGGGGCAAAAATGGGCAAAAATGGGCAAAATGATCAAAAATGGGATAAACCACGGTCACCGAGC